AATTTTTTTTTATTTATACAACTTCAATGCACAAAATACCAAGGTAAAAGTACATATGGCGGACTTAACGCCTTACGGCATTTTCTACCAGTCAACCACAGGTTGTGCAGAGAAACTGTAGGCGATGCAAAAGTAATCAATAAGAAAAACAATAGGTCAAAAAAAATTATATACATATACTAAAAGTAAATTTACATAACCTAATTGTACAACTAAGAACCTAAAATTAAAAAGCTTAAAAAATATAATATGATGACTAAAATATATTATTAAAAGGGGTCCCTTTAGGCAAAGTTCCGAAGATACTGGCAGCGTTCCCTCTTTGAATGGCTAGACTAATTCTTTGTCCGAGGTAGCTGCCAGCTCTTCGGTCTTCTGTGATGTAAGTATGTAAAAGTAAATACATGTAAACACATGCGTATACATACACAAATACATATAATATATATCAATCTTCAAATAAAATATACTATATACATATTATATAACATAGTCTGACAATGAAAAAGTGAAAAGATAGAGAGAATGTAATAAAATATAGGAAATAGAGACTAACGAAAAAAAGAGACAGACAATTATAACTTAGAAAATGTACACATATAAGAGCAATATATAATATACATATAAACCTTCTTCTTGAATCACTCTATCTATTGCTGGAAACTGCAGTAAAATCCGTAGTTAAAGCACTCTGGCAATGGCTCTCTGGAACCCATACCATAAATGGAATGGCCCTCTTTTCCAAAATAAATACTGTATTAATACCCATATCTTATCACTACGACTGATTTAATCTTATTGTGTTTTTATATTTATGCCTAAATACATTAGTGCTGGTTGGTAGTTTGTATTCACACGTTTCGACTTGTAAAATGTGAACTTACATTGTTTAAAAGAGCAACACACAAGTTTCTTGCTTATTCTTCTTGTGATGAGACAGCTTTCCGAATAAGCGGTAGATTTAAAAAAATGTTGACTATTTAAAAGTGCTTAAGTTAAGTTTATTTGAATAAATGATTTTCTATTCTATTCTATTCTATAAATTTTGTTGACGATACTGTATTTCTAGGTATCATTAGACTTTAAGTTGCAATGGGGTACCCATATTTCCAAATTGGCTAGTCGATGTAGTTCTGCCGTCTATGCGGTAAGAAGAATTAGACAGTTAACAGACGTGGCAACGGCTAAACTTATTTACATTAGCTATTTCCACAGTACTATGTTGTATGGTATTTTGTTTTGAGGTAAAAAAAATATAGTACAACCAGCTGACCCCGCAAACTTTGTTTTGCCATATAAATTAAAATCGCTATTAAAAAATAGAGATTGGTGATAGAAGGGTGAAAATTTATAATATTTGTCCAAAAATAAAAAAAAATGTTACCGGTGGAAAATAGATAGTAACCGATTCTCAGACCTACGCAATATGTATATAAAATTTCATAAAAATCGGTCAAGCCGTTGCGAGGAGTATGGTAACTAACATTGTGGACACGAGAATTTTATATATAACACTGCACAGACAGTCATATAAATTAAAATCGCTATTAAAAAATAGGGGTTGATGGTAGAAGGGTGTAAATTTCTGATTGTATGTATTTTAAATACCTGATTATAAAAATAAAATTACAAAATATTCTCTGGAAAATTAAAAATAAATGTTAAGGGTGAACAATCCTTATCACTTAGGGGTATGAAACATAGATAGTAGTTGATTCTTAGACGTATTTATTATGCATATAAAATTTCATAAAAATCGGTCAAGCTAACGACTTGACCGATTTTTATGATTTATTTTTTATTTTTAACGAACGAGGAGTATGGTAACTAACATTGTGACACGAGAATTTTATATATAACGTTATGAAATAAATACTCTCGAGTAATATTTGATAAAGTAATCCTAAAACAAAACAATAAAAAAAAATCTCTAGAGTCTATGATTTTTTTCATAAATAAAAATTTATTTTAAATGAAAATTATTCTTTTTTATTCTTAAAAGGAAGGTAACAGATCGAATTTACTAAGCAGACATTTGCCCTTTTCATCACAAAATGGGAGAATCAGTACAAACTTTACCTCACAGATTTGCTAACAGCCCTTAATAGGGGTAAATGTTTGTGGACCACCACCCACCCCTACTGTTGGGGTTGGGGCGTGACGCACACGAGCACGCCCCTCTGGCCCGGATCGATGATGTGGCTTGTAGATGTTCTTGTAATAGATTCGTCCCAGGTTCTGTCTGTAATAGATGTTATTTAATGTTAATAACTTCAATCTTTACTAATATTTTTTTTTTATATTCTTACATTTATTTAGGGACTTTTATCATAACATGATAATGCCAGTCCCATCGTATCTTATTACTAATCTTATCTTCTACTGCACAATGAAAATAAAAATTTTGCTGGCGATGATACAGGATCAGATAGTACACCGTGGTACATACCAACATCAAGCCGATTCAGTCCAAATTTTTTCAAAAACAATTCCCTTTTAACAGCGTCTCGGACACACTCCATTAATATGTGATGCAGATCTTCTATAGTATTGCATGTTTCACAGTTGGGGGAATTCGATTTATGTACTAATATTATAAATGCGAAAGTAACTCTGTCTGTCTGTCTTGCTTTCACGCCAAAATGACTGAATTGACTTAAATGAAATTCAAATTCAAAATATCTTTATTCATGTAGGTCTATTACAGACTCTTATGATATGTCAAATCTACCGTCAGTTCGGAATGATTTCGAGATGAGAAGAACTGACAAGAAACTCAGCTCGTATTTTTTTTTTAATGTTGTACATATTTACAATAATACTATTTCATGTCATTAATGTGAAATTTGGTACACAGATAGTCTAGATACTGAGAAAGGACTTAGTCTATTTTTTAATGCGAAAAAGGGTTGTAAGGTGCTGAAAGGGGGATGAAAGGTTTTATGTAAGTATGGTTGATTTTGAAGCTAGAAGCTTAGAACTTTTTGGGATGTGTGTCAAATATAAATAAACTAGCTACTTGCCCCGGCATGGCACGGGTATACATTTATTATATATATAAACCCTCTTGAATCACTCTATCTACTAAATAAAACCGTTCAAACTCCGTTGCGTAATTTTAAAGATTTAGGCATACATAGGAACAGATAGACAGCGACAGCGACTTTTTATACTATATAATGATATGACAATCAAACTGTAAAACATTACCTTTAAGAGGGTAAAATAAAATAGGGAAATTTGTATAGAATTTTTTATACAAGGACAGCAGATCTGACATATCATAAGAGTCTGTAATAGACCTACATGAATTAAGATATTTTGAATTTGATTTGTATAAAATCTGCCTCTACCAAGCTACCTACCATCCAATTCAGTATACTGAACTGGATGGTAGGGAAAAAAAATATTAATACAAAAATTTGACGTTCATAAGCGGCTAAAATGTCCTACATGAATAAGTAACTTTTGATTTGATATTTTTTGATTATGATTTCTTACTTATGAACTTTTGACCACAAACATGCTAATTGTAGTGGAATTAAACAAAATAATATAAATCACTGAAGTACAAAAATCACACCAAATTAGATGCAAAATAATATTTTTTTTTTGCATAATTTTTTGTCGTATTCTCTAAACTATTTAATTTGTAGTCTAATTCATTATTATTCATGTATCACCACTTCCAACTAACAGTTTACGGACTCCTTCTAATAATAATAATAATAATCTCAGGGCAATTCACACAGCGCCATCTAGTCCCAAGTTAAGCTAGCTAAAGCGTGTTATGGGTACTAGACAACTGATACAAATACATAGATATTTTTTTTGTAAATACATACATATTATACATAGAAAACATCCAGACCGATACAAACAATCATGAATTCAAATTGTTTGTGCCGTGCGAGGAATCGAACCCGCGACCATCGGTCGTAAAGCGGTGTGCTAGACCGCTAGACCACCGAGGTCGTCAATATATTATATTTTTTAAGGTTTTTAGTTTTAAGTTAATAATATAGTTATATCGTAATTTGTTTATTGAAGTTAAATGGGCATATATATATTGTTATATCAGCCAGATTCGAACTGACAACCTTTGCAGTGTAAGTCATTTAGGAAACCACTGCGCCACAACCCTCTAAAACGAGAAATAGTGACTATAGTTGGACCATAGACCCTAATCATCATTTAAATAAGACTCAAACGACATAGTTTCCAAAGCCACAATACATGCAATAACTCTGCAAATCCTCGCCAAATGGGGTTGACCCGTTTCCATTTATTGACCAGCCCCCCCATGGCCTAAATTCCACCCCCTTTTACCTCCGACCTTTAAACAGCGCACGCGCCAACTGCAGCCCCAGAGCACCTCCCTGAAATTTTCAGTAAGGCTCCAACGGTATTTGGAGACGCACCCAGCTTGAAAGAGCTGAAAATTAACTGTATACCCTTAAAATATATTTTGGTTATATATGAAAAACATATATAAACATTCAAAATTACGCGAGCATTGTTCATTCATATATAATTTCATTTACGACCCAATCCGACATATATTAATTTGTTTCTCAACCAAAAACATAGCTTACAAGTAGTGTTTAATAAAAAATTAGGTTATTTAATTAATTGTATCTACTTTTTAATTACATCCTAAGGCGCATCTGATAAGGTCAGTATACCTCGATGTCTATGACTCACTTTTTGTTTTTAGAACGTAGCGATTTTAGATGTTTTTTCCTTTTTATTTCTCACATCACATTTTCAAATTTGGAATCACTGACCAGTAATTTGACCTTTTGACCTATCGACTAGTATGGATTATTACGCGCATGCGCAGTAGACATGCGCGGTGTTCCTTAACTTCTTTTCACTATTGACTAAAGAAAAAAAAAAGCGTAGCCGTTCTGAAAACAAAAATCGTACGAAAATTTCTGTTCATATAAATTAACATTATTCTTTTTCTGTTTCCAGACTAGACTAGAAGTTAGCCAATAATGTCAAAGCTGACACTGGACGGCTTTTTTTCGTACTGCAAGCAAATTGCTGAGCATATCCAGTTGGTTCGTTCATATTCTGAGCATTTTTAACCGCCATATTGTGCCGCCATTTTTTTCCGATCTGCCGCCATTTTGTTTTAAGTTCTCTTTGTTCACTAACAGTGCATGTCAGTTTTTATTTCATTTTCTAGTCTCTTATAGATTAAAAACGATTAATAAATACCTGCTGCATGTTTTAATTTGTATTTGAATTTGAAATAAGTACTTATATTAATTAATGTTGTGATGTAACTATAGTGTATTACGATATAAGTGCGTTATGATAGTTATAACACACGAGGCAGAATTTCAGCCCAAGTCTAAGACTAGGCTGTAATAAAGCCGAGTGTGTTATATACACAACGAGGCAGAATTTCAGCCCAAGTCTAAGACTAGGCTGTAATAAAGCCGAGTGTGTTATATACACACGTATATCGTACGACGTTTTTCAACACACTTGATTTTAAATAAACTCAACTATAAAACTGTGTTGCTTTCCCGCCGTTTTACTTTTTTAAATAAGCGAGCTGACTACTGGCTCAAGCCGCGCTGTAGTTGCTTTGAAATTTGATAAAAAAATAGCAAATATTGCGGTTTTGGAATATAACTTCAGTATTTGCGTTTATATCACGCGCTTTTTATGAGCTGCTTTATATATTGTATACCGGTGAAATTAAATCCACTTTGTGAGCAAGTGTGTTGAAAATGTGTAATAATTATTATATTATTATAAATACCAGTCTATTCTAATTGAATTTTATTATTGAACCTTGCCGGCTTATATGATAATGATTGATGGACTTACGTCCAGGGGAGGATCGTGAATTTGTGGGGCCCTGGGCTATATATACTTAAGGGCCTACCTATCGTACCTAATTATATTACGCAACTAAAAAAAATACAGAAATTCCGTGTTCCTTTGATAGACGCGCACTTGCATGGGTTGATTGATCTCAGGGTTGCCAACCTTATGACAGGTTTTTTAAAAGTCTATATATTTTTTTATATTATTCTAAACACGATGTTTAGAATAATATAAAAAAATATAGTAAATATATCAGTGGAGACTGCCCTTTTGTCCTTGGGCCCTTTGTATACTCGGGGTCCTGGGCTGCAGCCCAAAAAGACCTTCAGTAGATCCGCCCCTGTTTACGTACGTACGTAAATTACGTACGTTTGAATACATTCAATGTTTAAAAAAATCGTAATAAAAAACTTCAGCAGAAAAAAAATCATTGAGATAATAATGGAAGAATTTGCCATCGATAACTTCTATTCTGTGATAGTCTACCCGAGGTCAGCATAAAAACGATTCTTCCATACCATCTTTCATCCCCACTTTCAACCTCTTACAACCCTTTTTTCGCATTCAAAAGTAGTCCTATGTCCTTTCTCAGGGTCTAGACTACATGTGTACCAAATTTCATTTAAATCGGTTTGGTAATTTTGACGTGAAAACGAGACAGACAGACAGATAAAGTGACTTTCACATTTATGTATTTTTTTTTATAATAAATAATATTAGTAAGGAAGTAATGATAATACCACAGATACAACATTTGAACATTGTGTCGTTAGTTATGAAATTTACCTATTTTTTATTATTTATTAGTGAATACAGCTATTCCCTCGGTTTCGCCTGTATGAAAGCATAGAAATAGAATTAGAAATAATCTTTATTCAAATAAACTCATTACAAGCACTTTTGAATAGTCATATTTTGATTCTACCACTCATTCGGAATGCAGATTCATCACAAGAAGAACGAGCAAGAAACTTGTGTGTTGCTCTTTTTAATAGATGTTTTTTTTATATAAATAATTACAGTATAACAAGTAAGAGGCATGCGATAATCAACATAGATATCGCTACGCACTCATTATTAAATCATCTAGCGGGGATATAGCGAAAACTCCACTCGCATCTTATGAAGGGTTAAGAACCCTTGCTTTTAATTTCACACCCCCAACCCCTATACGGTTAGGTGAGATTGCGTGTATAACTATTATACAGCCTATATGTGATATTAATCCGTCATACTCGTGAACGGGTGCTGCTTGTGGGGACTGGTCTGTTCAGGTTGCGAACACTGATTACATTTTTTGATTTTTTTTTATATAGCATATGCTGGTGGTCACTCTATTCTCCCAAATTTGAATTTAAATGAAATAGTATTATTGTAAATATGTACAACATTAAAAAAAATACGAGCTGAGTTTCTTGTCAGTTCTTCTCATCTCGAAATCATTCCGAACTGGCGGTAGATTTGACATATCATAAGAGTCTGTAATAGACCGACATGAATAAAGATATTTTGAATTTGAATTTGAATATATTATTGTAAAGTTTCATCAAAATCCGTTCAGTAGTTTCTGCGTGAAACATCCATTTACCCATCCATCCATACTCACAAGCTATCACGTTTATAATATTAGTAAGTTTTGTAGGAACGCGAAATTCTAAATATTGCATTTGGTTGCAGGGCGAGAGAATGGCTTCCTTGTCAGGACAGGGCACCCCCAAGCTGACGTCAGCAGTCGGCAACCTTTACTATGACTGTAAGTAATAATTTATTTATTTATTTGTACACATTACATCAATGGTTGTAGACAAGACAATTAACAGCAATCCCTGCACTAAGCATAAGGCTTGTGTCGCAGGAATCAGAAATCCTTAATTACAAATACATTAACACAGGCTCCAGTGACACAATCCAACGAGGTACAAAATTAACCAATATTATATCGGTACTTTACAAAGAATAATAATAACTGAAATAAAGGTAAGATTAGGAAGGAACAGGTAGACGTTATAACGTAGGCATCCGCTAAGAAAGGATTTTGATTAATTCTACCTCCAAGGCGATAAAATAAGGGATGAAAATTTGTCAATTTTAAACCGATCGGGCTGAGACTTTGCATGCATAAAGCTACTATGACGTAGGCATCCGCTAAGAAAGGATTTTGATAAATTCCACCCCTAAACGCGATAAATAAATAAAATAACGCGAGCGAAGCCACGGGCAAAAGCTAGTACATACATATACATGCCTACCAACGCGACTAAAGTTTCTGTGATACGTAATACCACAGATAACATAATATTACAGTAATACAGACAGATACACGATACGCAACAAATTTCCGCCGGATATAGCACCCTCCCCGGATGTTAGATAAGCGCGCACGCGCGCCGCCATCCGGATGTTGATGGTGTTACATATCAAATCTGATGTACTTCTAGTTTAGTGGGTTCTTAGTTCGAGTTACATTTTTTATGTGATTTGGATCTATATAGATAGATAGATAGTAAAAAAAAACAAACTCATATGACATTGTATATGGAAGAGCAGGTTGTACCTAACTCAGACATTTCCATGCTTACCAGGTCATCCCAACACTATATTACTGTAACTGAATTGGTTTTAAAGAAATAAACATTTTTTCATTTTCATTTTTTCAAAATATTATATATGCCAGGAAAAACATTAGCAGTTTTAAAAAAGTACTGTAAGTACTGATCACTTTAATGATTTCAATTCCTACCACCTCCTGCTAAATCAAGACATCTTTGCCAAAACCACTCCAAAATATCTATTACTACCTTGTCATTTGTGTACTATCTCTATATTAACTTACTATAAATGTGTGTTTATGTATTTTAATTTTGTTGAGAAAACTATTTAGATATTTATATTTAAAGGTTTTTTCTATTCTATAATCAAAAATATAAAAACAAAATTATATTACGTAGTGACGTGATGGTAGACAGTGAAGTGTCACTGTCTACCATCTTACCATTAAATACATTTTTCAGTCATAATAATCATCTCAGTACAATTCACACAGCGCCATCAAGACCCAAGTTAATTGTCTAGCTAAAGCTTGTGTTACGGGTACTAGATAACTGATACAAGTACATAGATATTTTTTTTTTTTCGTAAATACATACATATTATACATATAAAATACCCAGACCGATACAAGCAATCATACTAGACCACCGAGGTCGAGGTAAATAGTTTTACTATATATTTCTACAACATACGGGTATGTTGAGAAACTATTTTGATATATTTAAAATGTTCTTATATTATATAATCAAAAATATAAAAACAAAATTATATTATGTCACTTCACTGTCTACCATCTTACCATTAAATACATTTTTCCAATCATAAATAGTTTTATTTCATATTTCTACAACATACGGGTATGTTGAGAAACTATTTTGATATATTTAAAATGTTCTTATATTATATAATCAAAAATATAAAAACAAAATTATATTATGTCACTTCACTGTCTACCATCTTACCATTAAGTACATTTTTCCAGTCATAAATAGTTTTACTACATATTTCTACAACATACGGGTATGTTGAGAAACTATTTTGATATATTTAAAATGTTCTTATATTATATAATCAAAAATATAAAAACAAAATTATATTATGTCACTTCACTGTCTACCATCTTACCATTAAGTACATTTTTCAGTCATAAATAGTTTTACTATATATTTCTACAATAATTTTATATCAATTTATTATATATTTAGTACATCATATCATAAATCGTGTACAACACAGCAATACACCACCCCAGGTCTTAAAGTCAGGTGCTGAAAAACAGCGTTGCAGCGCTCCAGCCGCTGCAGCATTATGCTGAGCACGGACCTATTCGGTAGATATAATAATATAATAATAATAATAATCCCAGGACAATTCACACAGCGCCATCTAGACTCAAGTTAAGCTAGCTAAAGCTTGTGTTATGGGTACTAGATAACTGATACAAATACATAGATATTTTTTTTTTGTAAATACATACATATTATACATAGAAAACACCCAGACCAATACAAACAATCATACTCTTGAATGCAAGTGTTTGTGCCGTGCGAGGAATCGACCCGCGACCATCGGTCGTAAAGCGGTGTATTAGACCGCTGGACCACCGAGGTCGTCCAGATGCTTAGACAGACATACACATCCATACACACACACGTAATTTGTGTACTGTTTTTTTGTAATTGTCGCACTGTTTGTTATTTCTTCTTTTTTTGTTTAATGTGTGTTTTAGTTTTTTCTTCTACTGAATAAATATCATTTCATTTCATTTCAAAATGTTAAAACTTCCACTTGGTAAGTCTCAATTCTTATGCCCAATTTACACTCAGCCCGAGTGGGCAGGGACACTTCTCTGCTCGCTCAGTTCCGTGCTCACCAGCACGGAAGTGAGCAGCGCGAGAGTGTAAACACGAGTGGGTGTGAGTGGCAGCGCCAATGGCATGAGAAGTGTCTCATGCCATTGGCGCTGCCACTCCCGCTGCCCGGCGCTCTCTCGATTGTCGGTTTTTCGTGCGCGAGTCAAAGGACTGGCAGCGTGTTTTTACATTCAGCCCTCTCGCTCAGTTGTCGCCCGGCAATATTTCCGGCAGCGCGAGTGGCAGGGGAAGCGGCTGAATGTAAACATAGCATTAGGAAATTCCTTTTTATTTCGTGCTGCTCAGTTATGGAACAAACTACCTGTACAGATACAGGAAAGTCCATCAATTAGTTGCTTTAAGAAACGTTTAATCACACTATTTATGGACCTTAGTAAGATTAGGTTTGTCTTGTATTTTATTATTTGTATTTTGTGTAATATATGTAGATATATATACACCAAAATAACATTTTTTACAATTTTTGTCTGTCTGTCTATCTGTTAGTTCCGGCTAATCTCTGAAACGGCTGTACCGATTTGACGGGACTTTTTTTGGCAGGTAGCTAATGTTGTAACTTAAGCTACTTTTATTTTAGAAAAAAAAATAGAAAAATAAAGTTAAATGCCACGCGGACGAAGTCGCGGGAATAGCTAGTATGCAATAAATTATAAAGTAAATTGAATGTACAATATATACATAAACAGCACTATGGATATCACGTTATCCTCAGACACCCCTGATTTCACTTATGAGCTGTCATTCTGAAGGACTAAGATGTCATTCTTAACCTGTAATTTCAATGTCTTTTGGCGTGAAAGTGCGACAGATAGACAGACAGAGTTATTTTCACATTTATAATATTACGGTTACCAGTGTCATTTGATGGTTACAATCCTCACCATCAAACTAATTTGGTAAAAATATAATACTATCTTGTGCAGACCACGCATTTATCAAAATAGGCACATATATAACAACTTCCAATAATTAACACACATAAAAAGTACAATCGAATTAAAAAATCTCTTTTTTTCTTTTATTTATCCTTATAGAAAAGGCAAAGAGTCTAAGCCCATACAGCCGTTAAAAACAACCTTTTTATTGTAGGTTGTTTGGTTCTGTTTTTCCCTTTTCAGGGAAAGGCAAAAGGACTCAGCCTATACAGCCATTGTCATCACAACTTATAAATCTTGAAATGTTGATATGACGTACTCAGAAATGGGTTTGTAAGTTTCTGGGTTCATCAATAGATTCTGGATGGAGCGCGGGATCTCCATTTTATCATATATATTGATCAATTTATCAATAAATATTAATCGCTGGATTGCGAAATGTTGACAGTAAAAAAACAAGTGATCTAATGATTGATCTTCGTCGGCAGAACAAAAGTCACATATAGGAGACGAAATCATATTCGTTCCATGTCCAATTCTGAGACGACATAAAATTGAATAGAATTTCTTTTCCGCATTTACCATTAACTTTTATGGATTCTTCCCACTGTTGTTTCCATTTAGTTTTAATTGTTTTTCTTCTTTCAACGATAAAATCTGAAGTCGGGCTTTTTATTGTAGTAGATTGACAATTAATTTTGGCGCCAAATTTCAATACAATATTGTCACGTCACCGCGGGAAAATAACGCTGACTTACGCCGTAGCTGTGATGTAGATCGGCCACACTCATTACCGCGCTACAAACGTCACATTCAATTAATCACAGAGCACTTTGAAACGCGACTGTAAAATTCAATTAACAGTAATTAATGATGGCTGACGACCTGTGTAGAAATGGATTGCCTTACTCAAAGTTCTGTATTCAATTCGGAATTGCCGCCATTTTTTGTTACTTTTTTTATTCGTTCTGGAGAAAGGTAAAGACTTAATCTGTACAGCCAAATATGTATTTTTGGCTGTACAGTTTTGTAATTGGAATTGAAAATGAGCTGATGGCCCGCGTAAATGCAAAGTGGGTCATATATGTGACTAGCTGTGCCCGCGGTTTCACCTAGGTATCTGTTATTCTACTGAATAAGCTATATTACTGTAAAGTTACGTAAACATCCGTTCAGTAGTTTGTGTGAAAGAGTAACAAATATCCATCCATACTCACAATAACACAGCGTTTTACTTCCGATAGTAGCAGGTTCGATTCCTTGCACGGTACAAACATTTCTATTCATGAGTATGATTGATTGTGTCGGTCTGGGTATATAATATGTGTGTACTTAAGAAAAAAACCTATGTATTTGTATCAGTTATCTAATACCAATAACACAAGCTGTAGCTAGCTTAACTTGGATCTAGATGGCGCTGTGTGAATTAACCTGAAATGATTATTATTAAAAAA